ATTTATTTATTTATTCATTTGAAACAGGATCTCACTATGTTGCCCAAGCTGGTCTGAAACTTCTGGGCTCAAGCTATCCTCCCACTCCCCCTCAGCATCCTTAGTAACTTGGATTATAGGCACAAGCCACCTCACCTGGATTTGCTTCCAATCATTTTCTATAAGCAAAATGTTACATGAAAATACTTGTATTTATGTCTTTGTAATTTTGTGCAAGAATATCTGAAAGAAAAAAATCTTAGAAATCCTAGAAAAATCCTGAGTCAAAAGGTACTTCTATACATAATTTTGAAAAATCTTGTCACATTGCTCTCCATAGAAGAAATACCAGTGCATCTTCCCACTGCAACATATAGAACACTGGTGTCCCCATATTCTTGCCAACATAGTGTGTTATCAAACTTCTTGATCTTTGCCAAGCTGAGAAGCAAAAGTGGTATTTTCTTACAGTTTTAACTGCTTTTTACTTAAATGACAATTTATAGGGGTGGAAAATTTAGGGATCACATTCTTTACAGTTTGTGGTCATTGCTTCAGAAGACTCTAGCATTTTATGTTAATGTAGAGCTAATAAGGACGACCTGATTTTTTTTTCCCTGGAAGGGTCTTCTACGTTTTGCCTGCTTGATGAGTCCTTTATTATATTTCAAGTCCAGTAGTGTTAACAGAGTATGTTCTTTAAATATATAGACTTAGGTCTCCTTTTATTTAAATAGGTCCTCTTGAATTGTATTTTCAAATACATTTGAATCATCAACCTCTTTTTTTTTTTTTTTGAGACGGAGTTTCGCTCTTGTGACCCAGGCTGGAGTGCAATGGCGCGATCTCGGCTCACCGCAACCTCCGCCTCCTGGGTTCAGGCAATTCTCCTGCCTCAGCATCCTGAGTAGCTGGGACTACAACCTCTTTTTAAGCTCTGCTGACTCATATTTCTTTCTGTAGCCTTCTCATATCTTTTCTGAGCTCCTACATGAATTTTTTGTGCTTTTGTTTTATCAAAGCAGTTGCTTTAAGTCTTGTTTTAATTTCATTGATATATTTAGGAACAACTCTCACTGTTCTGTGAAAAAGAGGTTTGTTTTCCAGAGATTATTCTGTAACTGCCATTTGGTTTTTATGTTCTCTTTAAAAATAATAATAAATACTATGTTAGTTTCTGTTGTTGTTTTTAAGAATTTACCTTTTTCATTTGACTAGAAATCACTGACCTGTTCTTTTCAGAAAATCTGGTGTAGGAACAGAGTCATGTTCAAGTTTAAAAAAGAGAATTATATATGTTATTTCAATTTTACTTAGCCCCAGTCTACCAATTCTACAGAGCTGCTTACAACATGAAGTTTCCTTATGTCCTCTACCTCGCTGATACTCTCTACCTGCAAACGCAGCTCATCCGTGAACATGGCCCATGCCGATTTCCTTCTCTACTTCTCCTCAGAACCAGACCCAGGGAATTTCCCACTAATGGTCCCTAGACCCTGGTCGTGTTGTAAAAAAAAATGTGCTGTTTTTGCAATAGGTTGTGCCACTTAAGTGAGAAAGAAATGCTTTGCCAACATTTTCTGAGCTCTGAAGTCATGACTATTTTTTTCTGGTGTCTTTATCCACTTACTCCTGTTTCACCTTGACTAATTTGGGCTGCTCGCTTCTTATTATGCAGTTCAGAGATTTAAGTAGTCTGCTTGCTTCAACCAAAAATTTAACTTTCTTGTTTCTTATTTTTCAGGTTAGTTTTTCATAATAATTGAGAGAAAAAGGAAATGGTTATTTTAATCAACCACAATAAAACTAAAATTTTTAATGTTTCTTTAAGGGAATATCTTTGACTATATTTCTTTTCTTGTATTGTAATTGGTCTATTTAGGTTACCTACTTTTCTTGAGTCAATGTTAGTAATTTACGTTTTTCTAGAAATTATGCATTTCATCTTGATTCTAGATTTTTTAAAAATGTACATGCTATTTTACATATATGATTACATATATTATAAAAATGATATATATGTTATTCTTTTTATTTTAAAGAAGTTACATTTGTAACCACATCCCCTATCTTCTTTTCTTCAACTAACTTACAAAGCAGGTAGGTATGGATTACAAGATATTTTTCAGTGTTGTTTAATTCATAAGTATTTCTTTGCAAATTCTGTTTTCCTTGCATTTTGCTTATTCTTTTCCTCGATTTTGAGCACTTTATTTTAAACTATTAAGTGTTTTGGGGATTGTGAAATTAACTCTGTGAATATTGCTTTTATTGTATCTCAGAGGAATTGATCGTTAATATTCTCACTGTTTTAAAAAAGTTTTAACATGAAATTTGATTCTCTATTGTCATTGTTATGTATTTTTAAAAATCTATGGTAAATGGATTAATTGGCTATTATTTCATTGTTCTTTTCTTAATTTATGCATGCTGTTTAATGATATAGTTTGAATGATATCCATTTAGCATTTTGGTTTTAATTTCTTGGGAGGATGATTAATGAATACTGTGCAGTAAATTATTTTAGCTATTTCATTAATGTTAAAAAATAATGTATATTTTTAGCTTAAGTACCATATATCTATGTTTAGTAAATAAGAGTTGTTCATCGTGTTTTTAAAATATTCTATATCCTTAGTTTCCAAGAAAAAAAGCAAAAGTGCCATAGAATATTAAAGAGCAATTAAAAGAATAAAGATCTCTTTATATGCTGATAAGAAAAGTCTTCCATATGTTTGGTGTTAAACTTAGTTTGGAAAGCCTCCTAACAGTTTTTGCCAAAATACTCTCTTAGCAGAGCTTGCTTGGCCGTCCTATTTAGAATTGTGGCACTCCTCACTATACACACAAACTTCTCACCCGTCTTACTTTGCTCTGCTATTTCACCGCATTGCCGTCTTCTAAGATGGTGCATGATTTGATGATATGTGATGCTTATTGCTCATCACCTGCTTTTCTCCACTAGAATGGAAACTTCACAAGCCTAGCAGTTTTTGCTTCCTTTGGTGACTGATTTATCTTGGTGCCTGTACATGTGGGTGTTTGGTAATTATAGGTTGAAAATGTTATTAGTATGTGTATTATGGTAATTCATGTAAAAACAAAACCCCAAGCTATTTTGAAAACAAGTATATGCAAACGTATAGGAAAAGATCTGGCAGTATGCTCACTAAATTGTTCACGGTGTTTGATTTAGGGTATGATTGAAAACTCATGGCAGCTTTTTACCTTTTATCAGATATATTTTCATTATGTGCTAAATTTAATGATTACATTTTACTACTTAAAGAGTATTATCTGTGTCATTGCAATGTTAAAATTTTTATTTGGAATAACAAACCATTCAGAAAACAATTAAATATTTTGATAAAGAAGAGTAATAGGTGAGGACTATCCTTGCCATATATGAAAATACGATATAAGACTCCAATCATTCAATTACAATGGTATTGATAAGAAAATAATCCTACAAATCATGGAACTAGACAGATATCTGATATAGATTCCTACGCATATGTAGGAAAGTACTACAAAACAAAAGAGACATTTCAAATCAGTGACAAATAGAAGGATATAGGAAGAATTCATTTTTGGAAAGAGGGTAAAACAATGTAAATTTCACTTTATATACAAAAATATGAGTAGATTTGTGGACATGAAACATACTACTGAGCACAGAAAACATCATAAATAAAATTTAAAGTCCAATACTCTCTTAGAAAAAATTTTGAACAAATGTAAAGACATTAGGTTGAGATCCTTATTAAATCAAGGTCACATGCAACCAAATGAAAAACACTAAAACTCTAGTATAAATAGACCAACCTCTTAAGTATGTAGCACCAATTCAACTATACACCACTAGTTTGTTTCTCTGATTTAATAGGACAAAAGGCACTTGCAGATTGTTACTTTGTATAGAGTGACCCTATGAATAAAGTCTGTGGAATCCACAAACAGCACACTTGCAGAATTTTGAAAAGGCTTTGCGACTGTGGGAGTACTGGCCTTTACATAAACTGAGACTTCCCACATTTACTTTTATGGTAGTTTAAACACAAATCAAGGATGCTAGTTCAATGACATATCTACACTAAGTAAACTGGGACAAGGGGTTATTCAATTGCCCAGAACAGGGAGAATCTGTCTTTCTATCATCCCTGTCAATAATAATTAGCCCTTTCTGAAAGGGTATTGTAGATACACAGTCAAAATGATCCTTAAAGGGAGGATATAATTTGGCTTACAGAAATCCATTACCAACAAATAACTGCTTGTGGAGGAAAAATACAACAAAGCACCACACTTGGAAGTGATAATCACAGTAAACAGCATCCCTAGCCTAGATTGGGTCTTATATAAGAAACTATCATATTGCCAATTAACAAGTATTTTCTCAGTGTGATGACACTTTGAAATGGCTAAATACAAAATTGGGAGGAGAAAAGAAATTGCTTAGTCTCCTCCCTGCCCCTCATCCCCCACCTCCACAAACCCCCAAACTACTCAAGAGAAAACTCAATAATTCTGTAAGAATGATTTTCCTGGCTCAGTTTTATAAGAGACTTGGAAATAATACAACATCAGTTTATAAACCAGACAGGGCTTGGCCTGCTATGTCAACATAGAAAATCAATTCAGGAGTCCCAACTCTGCTCTATGGCCTTTAGGCCTGCTTCAGAAATCAATTCCCGAGAAGGATAAAAGGTCACTGCCATGGGGCTCAGGAACACATGCCTCAAATTGCCAGATGCAGAGCTCAATTGCCCCAGGGACTTGGCAATTTTGGCTCTAAATATGGATTCAGAAGGGCGAACCATCCGGACCAAGTACATACGCTCTTTTGAGGTAGTGGCCATTTTCATGCTGACATTTTTAAGAACCTATCATGGGTCAGGACTGAGCTGAATTACTTCACTGAATCTCCACAATAGCTCCTGTATAAGTCCCTTTTTCCCACTGCTGTAAACAACTGTCCAAGACCAGCTAATTTATAAAGAAAAGAAGTTTAATTGACTCACAGTTTCACCCAGCTGGAGAGGCTTCAGGAAACTTACAAAGGCGAAGGGGAAGCAGACTTTCTTCACGTGGCTGAAGGAAAGAGAATGTGTATGTCAGCACAGGAAAAACTACCATTTATAAAACTATTAGATCTCATGAGAATTCGCTCGCCATCACAAGAACAGCATGGGGAAACTGTCTCTATAATCCAGTCACTTCCCAGCAGGTCTCTCTGTAAATACGTGGGGGCTACAATTCAAGAGGAGATTTGGGTGAGGACACAAAGCCTAACCATGATTCCCCTTCACAGAAGGGCATAGAGGGACTTAGAGAGAGCATGTGGCTGGCCAAGGTACTGATCTACCCAGAGAAGTCAAAGCTTTTCAGCTTTTTCTGGTACGTTTGTATTCATTCACTGGGGCTGCCTTAACAAAGTACCACAGATTGGGTGGCTTAATCAACAGAAATTTATTTTCTCACGCTTCTAGGGGCTAGAAGTCCAAGATCAAGGTGGCGTCTTCTGAGACTTCTCTACCTGGTTTGTTGTTTTGCTTTTGTCTTCATGTGATCTTCCCTCTGTACATGTCTGCTTCTAAATCTCTTCTTATAAGGACACAAGTCGTATTAGATTAGGGCCCACCTTAATGACCTCATTTAACCTTAATTGCTTTCATAAAGGCCCTATATCCAAATGCAGTCACATTCTATAGTACTGAGGGTTTTCACTTTAACATATGAGTTGGGGGAGCACAACTCAACCCATAGCAATCTCTGTTATTGTAATTGTTCAGATCCAAGTTATCTCTTATAAAACAATGATCATAACCTATACATCCAACTCTCTGCACATCCCATAAGAAATACCTGGTTGTGGCTAAAGAAAGAGCTACCGTAGACTGACTGGTCTCGCTCGGCATGTCCTTGACATTCAGGATAGGTGGGGTGATCCATCATATGGACACTATCCATTCCGGTGATGCTCAAACTTCAGTGTGCATCAGGATCCCTGCAAGGCTTGCCAAGACACAGACCACTGGGCCCACCTCGGAATTCCTGATTCAAGAAGCTGGAAGTAAGGCCTGAGCTTTTGCAGTACTAACAAGTCTTCAGGTGATACCAATGTTGCTGATCTGGAGACTGCCCTTTGAGAGCCACTACTCTCTTTCCCAATCTACTCTCCTAGGTGATTCTTTCTCATCTCCCTTTTAAATCTCCAGCACCTGCTCCCTCGTGTTCATTCTCAATGAATGATCTTTTTTTCTTCCTCATTGACAAAGGTGAAACAATTAACAGAGAACTTCCCCAGTCTCTCACTACTGCACCTGCTCACCCTCCCCCAAGCACCTGTTCTCACTGTGCTTTTCTTTCTTTTTTGAAAGGTGAATTGTCTGTGGTCTTTCTAGATCCAATCTCTTTACATGTGCACCAGATTCCAAACCTTCCTGCCCACTTCATGGATTCTCCCATCTCTCTCACCTGACCAACTCTTTCCACCTTTTGAATCATCCTCCTAAGCACAAAAAATTGTTATTAATTGATCTTAAAAAGCAAAAACTAAACCAACAAAAACAAGAAATAAAACCTTTTACCAGACCCTCTCTCCCCAGCAGCTATGACTCCACTTCTCCTTGCCTTTGCAGGAAAACACCTGAGAAGGGGTCTGCAGTAATTCTGTCCAGTTCCTCTCCTCTCATTCTTTCACAGAGCTGAAATCAGGCCTTAACTCCCACCGAAATTGCTCTTACTGAGGTCTCAGATAATCTTCAGGTTGCTAAATCTCACGGCCCACACTTGGTCCTCTCACATTTTACCCCAATTAACAGAGATGACACCACTCCTTGATACTTTTTTGTTGTTTTTGGCTTCTAAGGCACCACATTTGATTTTCCTCCTAATTCACTGGTTGCTAGTCTCAGAACTCTGTGAATGACTTATCTTTGCCTATACTTCTGAGTCCTGGACCGACTTGCCCCGGATTGTAGTTTCATTTTTATCCACTCTCCTTCCTTCGGGGATCTCATCCAGTCTCCCTCTGCATGCCCTTTGTTGCCAAATTGACATCTCCAGCACTGGATGCTCCTTTACCTCAGACTCTAAATCTATATTCAAAGTCTCCCATTTAGATCGTTCAAACTTTTCAAGAGTGACTCCTGATCTTCTCCCAAATATCTGAGCTGCTCAAAACTTTCCATCTCAGTAGATGAAAATTTCACCCTTCTAGTGCTTAGGTCAAAAATCTTTGAGTGATCCTCGATTCCTCCCTTTGCCCATTGGCATTGGTGAATCCATTACCCACTGGATTCACCAGGAAGTCCTCCTGTGTTTACCTGAAACATATATTCAGAGACCAATTACTCCTCAGCACCTCCATCACTATCACTGTGGGTCAGAATTGCTAGATTTTAGCAATCATCTCATAACTGCTTTCCTATTCCCACCCTTCCCCCCTTCTATTCTTTTACCCACAAAGAAGGTTAAGTGATCCTTTAGAAACATAAGTCTGATCATGGCATTTCTTTCCCAAAAAAAATCCCTGTAAACGCTCCTCATCTATCTCAGGGTAAAAGTCCAAGTTCTTATATGGCAAGTCTGTGCATGAGACCTGCTCTGACCACTCAATTGAAAATGGCAACAAAACCCTTCCTGGAACCCCACTTTTAAAATGGCAAAAACCCCCTTCCTGGAACCCCATCTTTAAAAAGGCAACAAAACCCTTCCTGGCACCTTTCCTTTCTAGCTTTGGACCTATTACATAATCTATGTATATTTTTGTTTTGATTATCACCTGCCTTCTCTGCTAGTATGTAAACTCCACAAAAATTGAGATTTTTATTTGGTTCACTGATGTATCCCAAAGACATAGGTCAGTATCTAACTTGCAGTAGAAACTCATCAAGTATTTATCAAATTATTTGATATATGAATGTGATGATCAGATTAAAATGATACTTGATAGTCACTAGAGAAATCAGTCTCTGACATCGCCAGGAACAAAATCCATGTTCTTTGGAATAGTCACTGATGAAGGGTTCATAACTTTTTGTGCCATGGACTTCCTTGGCAGTCTTTTGAAACCTACGAACCCCTTCACAGATTAGTATTTTTAAATGTACAAAATAAAATTAATAAACTACAAATGGAGTAAATTATATTATCAGAACATTTTCAAAATTATAAAACAAATTTGTAGCTAATAGTAATACACATAATTTATCCATTAATTGACAACATCTGGTAGTGGTTCTTACAATAATGATAATTTTGAAGTACTGATGTGTATGACTGATATTTCAAGATGTCTATAATAACTCTAATGTGATACAAATGTATCTGTAATTTCCATCATGAACAAAGTCACAGGAACTTCTAGTAGCACCATGGTTTCTTGCCTATATTTATAAATGAAGGAAATTTTAAATTTTAGTAGGTAAAACTAAAATCAAACTGAAAATGAGGTTGTATTTTCTACAATGAATTTATTTCTTAGATGAATGCTTTGGAAAGACTTGTAAAGAGTAAAAATAAAAGCAGGAAGAATTCCCCCTTTCTTGCTTCCCAAAAAAGTGCTACTGAATTCTTGTGGATAAGGAAATCGCAAGAGAATTGAAAAAATAACAAAAATCTAGAAGAATTTTGTGCAAAGACTGTTTTTGCTTTTGCAAGTGTCTAAATTTAAGGTTCTACTTTAAAGAATCAAATCTGCAAATTATCAAAGAGTGATGATACTTGTTCTTCATATAAAGAAGATTATGTGGAACTCCAAGTGTAAGATTTATTACCAAGGTAAAATGAGGAAACTGAGGCAAGTATAAGAAAGTGAGAAGATAATTTATTCAGCTCACAGGCAAGGTTCTGTGGTCCAGGGTGGGGCCAGAGAAGTTGCACCCGGCTGTTCAGGGCCTGGGGTTTTATGGGGAGGGCAGGCAATTGATTGGCTATTGGGGAAACAAAGAGAAGGCATTCCTATTGGCTGTTGAGGAACAGGAAGTTCATGGAGCTAAAGTAGGAAATACATGAAACTAGCTGTTGTTGGTAGGTGGGCGGGGCCTTGGGTAAATAGGCCTTGATTGACTACAGGGGAAACAAAGAGAAGGCATTCCTATTGGCTGTTGAGGAGCAGGAAGTACATGCAGTTCAAGTAGGAAGTACATGAAACTAGCTGCCATTGGTAGGTGGGCGGGACCTTGGGTATGCCTGGGCCTGCCAGGGTGTATGGGGCAGGGTGTTGCCAGGCAGGGTATGGTGGGGCTTCTTTAAACATTTTCCTGCAGGGTTTTTAACAGCAGGCTGGAGGTTGGATGCATAATTTAGTGCAGGGTGTGGGCTTGGGTATGGTATGAAGAGGCGGGTGCAGGGAGGCCATGTGGGGAAACCATGTGGCAAGCCAGATAATGAGCCCGGGTGATGACACAGTTATCAGTTGCAGAGAGTGATGAATGTGATGAATGTGTCCCTTTGACTCCTGGCAAGGCAACCAGCCTTATACCAAATATCTGACCAATCAGATCAAAATATCCGGACAATATATCAAGAAAGCAGGCAGAGTGTGATGGTCCATGCCTGTTATTCCAGCACTTTGGGAGGCTGAGCAGGAGGATTGCTTAGGAGCTCGAGACCAGCCCAGGCAACATAGCAAGACCTGTCTCTAAAAAAAAAAAAAAAAAAAAAAAAAAAAAAAAAAATGAGCTGGGCATGGTGTCACTTGCTTGTAGTCATAGCTTGAGCCAGGAGGATCCTTGAGTCCAGGAGTTTGAGGTTAGAGTGAGCTATGATTGTTCCACTACACTCTAGTCCAGGTAACAGAGCAAGACCCTATCTCTTAAAAAAAATGGAAAGCAGGGCCGGGCACAGTAGCTCACGCCTGTGGTCCCAGCACTTTGGGAGGCTGAGGCGGGTGGATCATGAGGTCAAGAGATCGAGACCATCCTGGTCAATATGGTGAAACCCTGTCTCTACTAAAAATACCAAAAAAATTAGCTGGGCATGGTGGTGCGTGCCTGTAATCCCAGCTACTCAGGAGGCTGAGGCAGGAGAATTTCCTGAACCCAGGAGGTGGAGGTTGCGGTGAGCCGAGATCGCACCATTGCACT